CAAAAGGACTCCTGTCTAGCAACTCAAAAGCGATGCAAGACTTGTCATCGACTATGAAACTGTCCCATGAATCTCACCAAGTTGTTTTTCTCTGGGTCAAGTGTCCTGAGCTTTTCCAGCATTTCTACTTCCTTGCCCATAAATCATTGCCGTCTTTGAGGATCTTTATGGCCGTATTCTCATTTGTATCCATATTGACACACTTGGCTACTTTGCCAAAACCTCCTTCTCCAATAAACTCCAATACTTTGTATTGTACAGACTTGTTGCGGAGTATGAAAAGCTCTTTTTCCTGCAATGGTTCCGGTGAGGTTGGAGTATCACAGTTGGATCCCATGCAGTATGATTCCTCAGTCCCGGAGTTGTACATGTTTAAGAAAACCTCTGCTGAGTCAGATGATTCCGTGTTGCTTTCAAAATCGCTGAGATGTTCATGACATTTGTCTGAATCACACGCAGGGCAGACGACCATCAGCTCAAACGCAGCTTGTGTATAAGAGCTTCTGTGAGCGTAGTCAGCCAGGTGACTCATGGTGACAAAAGAATGTTCCAAGGCTTCCTCAGGTGTGATTCTCATCTCAGCATCTGGATTGAGCAACATTTGAAGGAGATTTAAAAATGCCCTTGTGTCTTCAACTTCAACCTCGTCAATTGCATTTGAATATATGTCTACTGCGTCAGCCAAATTTCTGATATGGTCGAATTCCCACTCTGACAATTGCAGCTGGTCATGATACTCTTCTGGTGTTTTCAGTCTCCATCGTGAATTGGGAGTGCAGCGATTCCTCTTGAAATACCGGTGAGTGTATTTTCCAGCATCTAGCAGGTGGTCTTGTGGCTGACCGAGCAGACAGCAAATAGTTTTCATTACGTCGTACGATGATTCTCCTTTGAATATGTCCTTGCAAAAAAACAAAGTTGCTAAGAGACATCCCAGTGACCACATGTCAATGGCTTCAGATATGGGGAGGCCCAAGGACACTTCTGGTGCTCGGTATGCACAAGGTTGTACAATCGTTCCTTCCCGTACTTCGGAGGCTGTCATGGCCAAACCAAAGTCAATTAATTTCACACTGAAGGGCTGATCTTGGTGGTTGACGAGCATAACGTTGTCAAGTTTCAGGTCTGTGTAAAGGAGGCCGATACCCTTCAGGGCGTTGAATGCTACAAGTAACTGATGAGTTATAGGACGGATTTCATTAAGAGTCAATCGTTCCTCTCTCTGTAAAATCAAATCCCAAAGACTCCTGTCTAGACACTCAAAAGCAATGCAAGACATGTCATCGTCTATGAAACTGTCCATGAATCTCACCAAGTTATTTCTCTCTGGGTCAAGTGTCCTGAGCTTTTCCAGCATTTTTACTTCCTTGGCATAATTATTGACGTCTTTGAGGATCTTAATGGCCGTATTCTCATTTGTATTCATATTGACACACTTGGCTACTTTGCCAAAACCTCCTTCTCCAATAAACTCCAATACTTTGTATCGTACAGACTTGTTGTGGAGTATAAAAAGCTCGTCTTCCTGCAATGGTTCCGGTGAGGTTGGAGTTTCACAGTTGGATTCCATGCAGGATGATTCCTCAGTCCCGGAGTTGTCCACGTTTGAGAAAACCTCTCCTGAGTCAGATGATTCTGTGTTGCTTTCAGAATCGCTGAGATATTCATGACATTTGTCTGAATCACACGCAGGGCAGACGACCATCAGCTCAAACGCAGCTTGTGTATAAGAGCTTCTGTGAGCGTAGTCAGCCAGGTGACTCATGGTGACAAAAGAATGTTCCAAGGCTTCCTCAGGTGTGATTCTCATCTCAGCATCTGGATTGAGCAACATTTGAAGGAGATTTAAAAATGCCCTTGTGTCTTCAACTTCAACCTCCTCAATTGCATTTGAATATTTGTTTACCAAGTCAGCCAAATTTCCGATTTGGTCGAATTCCCACTGTGACAATTGCAGCTGGTCATCATTTTCCTTCTTGTACTCTACTGGTGTCTTCAGTCTCCATCGTGAATTGGGAGTGCAGCGTTCCCTCTTGAAATACCGGTGAGTGTATTTTCCAGCATCTAGCAGGTGGTCTTGTGGCTGACCGAGCAGACAGCAAATAGTTTTCATTACGTCGTACGATGATTCTCCATTGAAGATGTTCTGGCATAAAAACAGACATGCCAAGAGACATCCCATTGACCACATGTCAATGGCAGCAGATATGGGGAGGCCCAAGGACACTTCTGGTGCTCGGTATGCATAAGGTTGTACAATCATTCCTTCCTGTACGTCGGAGGCTGGCATGGTCGCACCAAAGTCAATTAATTTTACTCTGAAGGGCTCATCTTGGTGGTTGACGAGCATAACGTTGTCAACTTTTAGGTCTGCATGAAGGAGGCCGATACCCTTCAAGGCGTTGAGTGCTACAAGTAACTGATGAGTTATAGGACGGATTTCATTAAGAGTCAATCGTTTCTTTCTCTGTACCATCAAATCCCAAAGACTCCTGTCTAGCAACTCAAAAGCGATGCAAGACTTGTCATCGACTATGAAACTGTCCACGAATCTCACCAAGTTGTTTTTCTCTGGGTCAAGTGTCCTGAGCTTTTCCAGCATTTCTACTTCCTCAGCATAATCATTGACGTCTTTGAGGATCTTTATGGCCGTATTCTCATTTGTTTTCAAATTGACACACTTCGCTACTTTGCCAAAAGTTCCTTCTCCAATAAACTCCAATACTTTGTATCGTACAGACTTGTTGCAGAGTATGAAAAGCTCTTTTTCCTGCAATGGTTTTGGTGAGGTTGGAGTTTCATAGTCAGATTCCATGCAGGATGATTCCTCACTGCTGGTGTTATCCATATTTGTGAAAACCTCACCTGACTTTGTGCAGATGAGTCATTGTACTGGGGGTAAAACGTTTTTTCAAAATTAGACAGATGTTCACAACTTCAGCTCTCAGGAGCTCAACTGTGCCCCCTTCTGTTATGCTCTGAGTTATAGAATGTCTTGCCTTATAGAGATCAAAGGAATGACTGATAAGATCAAATGACACGCATGTAACCATAGCGACCAATTGATGACATCAGACAGTCATGAAAATGGTTTCTATGGTTGAACTGATCAAAGAGTGATGACATCAAATGACACTATGGCGTATGTCATCAAATGGTTTCCATGGTTACATTCCTGCGTGTGTGTGTGTGTGTGTGTGTGTGTGTGTGTATGTGTGAGCCCTCAGAGGGTGCGGTGAAGGCATCTCTACACACTCCACAAATTTTCTTTACATTATTTTATCTTTCGCATGCACAAACAAGCGCTCCCTTGGTTCTTTTTTATCTATAATACCTATTTGCAAAGGATCTTATCTGCATGGTTCTATACAGAGCATATACCTTTGTGTGTGTCTGTGTGTGTGCATAGCTCAGATGTTGTGCTTCATGTAGACATTTCAAGTGAACTCTTGCACTAACTACAGGAGGGTGAGAGTCTCTGTTTGTTCCCACAAAAAGGACCACTACCTTTTCCCCATTGGCGCTGCCCAGCACGTAGCAGCCCATGATGTGAATGAGGTTGGGCTTTGGGTTCAGCTTGCTCATCAGCCTGCCGAGCCGCCGCCAGAACCTGAGCGCAGGGGAGAGAAGGACACGAGGGGGGAAAGGAGGACAGACGGGCAGGTTGGTAGGAGGGTTAAGGGTCGGAACGGAACGATTCGACGACAGTAAGCGGACAAAGGTCGCACTTCTTGACACATTTTGGCATATTGTTATTGCAATTATTTAAATGTATAATCCAAGCGTGAAAGGGTGAAACTGAAGATGGAGATATAAAAAAAAAACCCTGCTAGATGTATGGTTACAACCAGAATGAAGTCTTACTGGATCATGTCGTCTTCCTTCTCCACCTTCGCAAATGTGGCCACTTTGTTCTTCAGCAGGTACAGATGTCCAGGTCCTCCCTGAGGAAAGGTGCTTGTGTTATCATGGATTCTGTTAAGGGTAAAAGTCCTTCATTTTCTGCTCAAACACAGTCAGAGAAGAGAAAACATATATAGTTTATAGGGATTCTACCGCGACATCTTTACTTTACTTATAACGTCCATCTGAATATAGTATTGACTTTATATAAAGATGTGCAACGTTATAGCTCGCCAAAAAGTGAAGACGAAGCCTCTCTTATCGCCCCGTGGTAGCTGGTAGTTGTCTATCTCATCAAGACAGCAGGAGATGTGTTACTTTAAGCTGCTAAATGCAAATATCTTTCGCTTAAATTGATTTTATTGATATCTTGAGAAGCTGGTATCAGTTTTTTGCTGAATTAATTAGTTAGAAATAAGTCTTCTGCCACATTGCAAGCAAACTCTAATGTAGAGCACATGTCAATGATTTCACAATATTGCCCCGTCTCCCTTGTCACTCACCTGACAGAAAATGAGCATGTTCCAGATCTTACAGCCTTTCCTGTAGGCCGCCAGCTTCTTCTCGATCTCCTCTGGACGCAGAATGGGAGAGAAAGAGAGAGGGAGAAAGGTGTCACTTTTCCGACTCAGCTGTAATGGTGAGACACATGAATTGGTTTTCTCTTGACACGCACGCACGCACGCACGCACACACACAGTACAAAAACAGTGAGTCATCTCGGCCCTCCAGCAAGCTGAAACTTAGTCGGTCCTCATCTTTTCCACTTGGAGTCATTTTCACTTTAGAGCTAAAAATAAAATAAAAACACACAGATGTTGAAGGTTGAAGCAGAATTAGTGTTTATTTTAAGCGATACCCTTCAAATCAATCAAATCAAATTAAATGACACCACTTTGGATCATTTACAGCCAGAGGTCAGATTGGATTTACACATTCAGATTTTTACTCATTCACAATTACAGTACGTGATCTTTTTGAATAAGTTGATTAACAAGGTATGCAAGTCAAAACCAACAATTATAGTACCCAGTATAGTACCAGACTCAGCTGACCTGGATATTGTTTAAAACATGTAATACTTTATATAATACTGTTCAATATGTATTTGTATTGTATTTGATCACAAACCAAAGTATTGGACAAATTGAAATGTTGACCTGCAATTGGCTCTAGATGAGCAGGTAGAGGATTATCAAATTTATTACAATTCATCCTGAGGGGAACATGAACGTACCAACCAGGGCGATCAAACTAGTATCTGTTGAAACTTCTTAAAAAGGGGGGTTATTCTTGGGATTCATCATCCAAGACATGTCATTACCATTTTAGCATGAAAGGTTTGAATAACTGCCAAGACAATTATTATAATAATATAATAATCCTATTATGGATTTGGCAAAGCTCAAGAGGATTTTGCATCTCAATTAAAATGTTACGTTCTGTGTTTCTCTTTCCTGGAGAGAAAATACCAGCAACAGACCGTCTTTAATTCCATCTGAGCAGACAAAGAACAAGGTGCCACTTAGGAGACCATTAAAGCCAACAAGTCGCATATATCTTTAGAGAGACACCCTCTCACGAGAGGGACTGAACAGTTCCTCACTAAGACGAAAATGAAACCTGCCAACTGCACTGAATGACTCCATCACTCGCTGGGCCAACGCAGATCTTTGCTTAAGATCTTCAATATGGCAAAACCACTTGCCGTGGGTAATGGTTGCAGTTGTCCATGGTTGCAGTAGTTTCAGCTTTTCAAATATCTTTAATTTCACCAAATGTATTCAAATAAAAACAGCCTGGTGCCGCATGGTTACTGATGTCAGAATATCATGTTGTATCTTAAGACTAAATGAATCAATACAGCCGAAGGGCTGCTACTCACATAAAGAATGGGGATGATGGAGGGGTCGTCCCTACGAATGATGTTAGGGACATATTCAGCCTTTGGAACCTTGGAGGAAACTAGCTGTGGAAAATAGGACACAGACGCAGAAAAACGGGACGGATGCATTTCGGTCGGCTTAGAAAACAAATTAGAAAATCGATTGTTGAGATGCGCACCATGATTTTAGGTGGGATGAAGTCCTCTGCTTCACAAGCGACCCTCTCCATCTCCCTCTCATCATCCCAGTCGGCATCCTCATCAGGCCCTTCATCTAGAGTCCCTGAGGAGCTCTGAAGCTCGCCACCTGGCACACACACACACACACACACACAGGAACAAAGGGCGAGATGAAAGGATTACACACAAACAAGATTAGAGAGCAGCATGCTCCATTTTAAAAGAGCTGCACCTGTTATTTTTTAAACATTTTTTTGGCCCAGAGCGGGAGGAAGAGAGGAGGACGCTCTGCTGATGCATCCAGGCGACTACGGCACACACGGCAACAGGCGGATGGACAACCAGGTGGAAAGATGAGGTTGGATGGCGAAGCGATAAGAGTGGAGACATTCAGAAGAACTGTAGCCACACAATCACAGAATCAGCAACAGAGTGTGCGGCCGCGGTGGCATCGTCTTGTTTGGAACGATGGGAACTGACTGAGACGATGCGTTACTACTTACCCATTGCATTAGCATTTCATTTTACTTTATTTTATTACTTGTGCACTGCTGTCTTGTTGTCTATTGTCACACTGTCCACTGTCGCGCACCAACCGCCAAGACAAATTCCTTGTATGTTTGACATAATTTGGTAATAAAGGTTTCCTGATTCCTGATACGTGTCAGCCTTAATAAGAGCTGGTCAAATGCTGGAAAATGCCAAGGAGAGGCGCTTGGAACGGTACTTTGGTTCCTTCCTTAATTTCTTTTAGCGTATCCTATACCAAAGTAAAAGGGGACAATGGCGCCCCACAATTCTTTGTGTCAGCGACGTTTAAAGCGAAGCACCAATCGTACAGAGATTGTCGCTGCTGATTTTGTACAGGTGATGTGTACAGTTGCATTCTAAAGTTGCAGTTGTCTTTTCCTGAGTCCTTATGAACTCTGCACCACTTTTCCTTGACGTCTTTCCTTCGACGTCAAGGAGAAGTGGTTGATGAAAAGACAGTCATTTCTGTATGTTGTGCGGCATTTTGTTGTTGGTGTGTGCGTGAGGGGTGGAGAGCGTGCCACTCACTGTCTCTGGAGTCATGCATTGAGTCGGGCTTGACGGGTGTCGGGTCACTCCACGAGCGGCTGAAGCTCTTGGCCCGGCGGTCGGCAAAGGCTGATGGAGTCGGTAGGAGGGGGAGGGTGGGGGGGCAAATGCGTCATTCTACAGCACACGCACACACACTCCAAACCCCAGAAATCACAGTTCCATCTAGTTGCCCCATTGTGTGTAGCAGCCCCTGCTAATGTTTGTATTGTGGTAATTCAATATTACTGTTATTAATAGTACTTGTATGGAGCTGATTTGGCAATAATGTTGCTGTTATTTAGAGGTGAACAGCAGGGGGTGTGGCCACATGGCGTCATCACTGGGTGTGGTTACAGGTGCCTCGGAATAAATACCTGACTTGTGACAAGTGCAAGTTGTGATTATTCACTCGATTTAGAAAATAAACTTTGGATAGATCGAGAGAACATTTGTGAGGTAAAATGTATCTCTGTAGATTCATGCTTGTTTTCATAGATTCATAACGGTTTCCATTGACCAAACAGTAACAAGTGATGGATCTACGAGTTTTACAAAGTTTCCTCAATCCTTTGGTTGGGATGTCTTACCCTTTACCACCAAACATATGAGCCACTCAAATGCTTCAAAGGGTTCACTCAACGTTGTAAGTGTCACATACAAAAATCTGATGAATCTTGCTCAAAATGATTTATTCTTTAAACTTTTGTTGATAAACATTTGATGGAAATATTACACAGCAAACACTTGACTCACATGACGGATCAGCTGTTTAGCTGTCAGTGTCTTTCTGGTTTTATATTGATATCTGCCATGCATTGTAAACAAATATGCAGACGGTCTCTTGCACCGTTGAAGTTTCCAGCACAGACTCAATGTCATCAAAACAACACAATTCATTAGTTAGTTAATTGTGGCAAGACTCAAGACATACACAACAACCAAACACTTCAGTAAAGACTGACCAAATCACCTTCAAGGGGGATTTTAAGGAATAAAGTTCAGCTGGTCTGATTCACAAACACACTCTGACGTGCACAGCACCGCTGCTCCATGCATGAAGCACAAATAAATCCCAAAGTTATCGCTCACACTGTTGAGCATGAATGTATGGAAATGCTCTGACATTAGCACACTGTACATACAGTACATGTACGCTGACTGACAGCAATACTTACTCTGGACCTTCATCCTGCGGCTGCCCACCATCCTGAGGTGCTTACGGAAATTTCTACCAAATTAAAGAAAGAGAAGACAAAGAAATCAAGAATGACAAACATAAGTCAAGACTTCTTATAATTTACTATCCCAGATGAAAAGAACTGGTCCCAAAACCAGCTCAAAGTCTCTAGTACCAGATGCTAATGCATTAGCAGGCATTATGCTAAAACCTACCTCAAAGATCCTCTTGTAGTAAAAAGTATCTACCTATCTAAAATAACGCATTCATACTTTGTTTTTACTATACAAAACGAGCAATATTTCCAGCTACCTGGAAAAAAATAAGATGCAACTTGAGAAACAGATTAAATATTATTTTAAATGACCAGGCAGGTGGAATCATATATTTCATCCAGATGGGCTTGAATTTTATTGGTTCCCTTAAACCCAAAGACTAAAGACATGAAACAGTTTTATATCATTTCTTATTTCTAGTGTATGCAAAGCAGATTATTTGGGACCCGAGACAGGACCCTGAGGCACACCACAGGAAAGAGCAGCAGTTTTAGTGATGTGGGGACCAAGTGACACAGAAATAACTACAATCACAGAGAAAGTCTCCCCAGGCTTTTGCCTTTCTGTGAGGACGCTCTGATCTACAGTATCAAAGGCTGCTCTAAGATCCAACAGCACCAAAACACAACATTCACCCACATCAGAAGAAAGCATTACGTCTTTGGAGACTGAGACCAGCAGTTACCACGGAAGTCTTCTAGCGGAAACCAGGTTGGAGCTGATCTAAAATGTTTTGTGCAGTGAAGACAGGAGAGAGCTGCTTGGCAACAGCCCTCTCCTAAAGGTTGAGATAAGATGCAGCTTAGATATGTATACAGTAATCCCTCGTTTATCGCGGGGGTTACGTTCCGAAAATGACCCGCGATAAGTGAAATCCGCAAAATAGAAAACTTTTTTTTTGTTTTTTGTTTTTTTTACAATTAGCAACTATTACATGTATACAAATACAGTGACTCGCGTGTAGGCCGTTTCACTGCTCTTCAGACTGGGCCGCTGCATCCTGACTGCGCTCTGCAGTGTTCTCTTCTTCTGAAGCCCGCGGTGCAGGTGTGTTTGTTCGGGAGAAGAACATAGTGATAGGCAGCTGTTGTCGCTCTTTTTTCTTCTTTGCAAAAAGATCCTTGTACACCGACATGCCACCATCGATTACGTTGGAGAACTGTAATGAACGGCTCGGGAGTGAGTTTTTAGCGAATCAGAATGCAGAGCACAATGCACCAAAAAAAAAAAAAATGCAATATGAAAATCCGCGAAATAGCGAATCCGCGATAAGTGAACCGCGAAGTGGCGAGGGATCACTGTATACCGGTTTAAAATCATCATGTTTTTCTTTAAAGCTACCAGATATTCCTGACTCAGAGGAGAGGGGGATCTATGAACCAGTCGGCGTTATTTTTTCGGACTTACAACAGCTTTTATAATCACTAACACCCGCACATCGAGACTGCTGAGTCAAATCCAAGCCGGTGAGTGTGTGTCTGTGTGCAGCTATCGAACCCTCTCAAACCGGCTGTGACCTTTTTCCAACGCGCGCACACGCGCACACACACACACACACACACGTTGTACTTCTTCAGGCCGCTAATTTCATAAGATACGGTCGATGGTGCTGAAAGGAGAGCTTCAACTTGTGCGGCCATTTTCAATCCAGGTTCCTTCATATATCAGGATAAAGGCAATGCAGACTCCCGTCACAGCCGCTGTGGGGGGCTTGCGCTGGGCGTGGTGGTGGGGCGGTCTCACCTGTGAGCTCTCCAAAGCTGCTGCTTCTGCCTGGAGCTGTCTGCTTAGTCTCTCCACCTCTGCCCGTCCGGTGCTGACGGCGTGCTCTTTGCGGCCGCGCGCCTGCTCCATCTCACGGACCTCCTGACCACATTACAGACCACAAGCATCGGCTCAATGACGCGGTGGTGGTTTACATTAGATTCATCCAATACGTGCGTCTTCCTTACAGCTTCTCTGGTTTCCTGACCAAAGGCTATTGTGTCATGTTTCATCTACTTTTGTAACTGAAAACACATTAAGAAATGTGTCAAATATGTCAAGTTGTACTTGATAAATGGGCTGGCTAGTTACTTCCTGTTAGAAACAAGACTGCACACTGCTACAGGTGTCCTGGATCAACTGGAGTAGCTGCAGTAAATAAAGACAGATAGTTATTGAGGCTCTTTAGCTGATGAGCCTGAGCTCAACAAGGCTGCACTGCAAAGTGTGATTAGACGTATCGCTGACATGTCTGCAGACATCGAGAGCGTGGTTTCAGTTATCGGTGTACTTTCATGACATTATGTAATCCCCTTTGAGTGTAAATAGAAAAAAGTATCTCCATATTGATAAGCTACTATCGGTGAAGTCCTTTGACTACCGCCTGCTTTCAGCGTATCCAACAGCAGAGCTCACCTGCTGCAGGTGGTCATGGATGTGCTGGTAGGTCTTTTGGAGTTCCTTCGCCCCGGTGACCTTCATTCTCATCTTGTCAATGTTGTTCTCCAGCTGCCGTTTGCGCTGATATTAAGTAAATGAAGGGAAAAGGCCGTAGTGTGTTATCAACAATATGACGGGACAACTTGAAATGTAAGGCCGGGCAAGGCAAGTGTATTTGTAGAGAACATTTCAGGCCATTCTAAGCGTTTCACATTAAACGGTTAAAACCATAGAAATGAATAGAAAGGGGAAATTTAAAAACAATTAAGAAAATGGATTGAAACATTAAAACAAGTTAAACAAAAAGCTTAAAATAGCTTTATGTAACTAAATACATCTAGCGTGAGCTGGACGTCCAGCTTGGTGAGACGTGCGTCGCATATTTAGTTGATAGTACATTTTTACAAAAATAGTCAAGCAAATTGGAACATGTCGGTGGGGGCGAACACCAAATGATTGAATGTGTATTTAAAACTTGTCTCCGCAGGGGAAGTACCATCCGGTACAGAGCGGGGCGACGATGCAGCAGCACATCTGGAGTGGATGCTCCAGATACAAAAATGGACACTGCATTTAGAGGAAGTATTCAAATCAATATGTGTTTGCTGGGGGGGGCATACATGTTTCCACGGTACCGCGGCCTTCAGCTCCATCCAGTTGTTTTTATGCGCCGTCGTTTAAACTGGCATTCAGTGCATTGGTACCATTGCTAAGTACACTGGTAACTGGTGAGTGACTCTGGCGCTGCATTAAATGTACATGAACTCAACGTCTCCCTCATTCCAGGCATATTGCAGCCAAACGTGTGACGCTGGCAGCACCGGTGTCCTTAGAGGGAGCGCGGGTCTGTCATCATGCCCCGACTTAGCACACACACTCAAGGGGGCAAGTTGTGTGCGTCACTGCTTCTATGTTGAGATGCGTGTTCACATGCGCTCTTCACCTGCTCGCATGAGTCTTCACCGTTGTAACCAGGTGGCCTGACGCTTTTGTCCCTCAGCGTCTTCCGCAGCAGCTTCACCGCGGCCTCCTTTTCAGTCACGGCGAACCGTAGTCGGTTCTGCTCTCTGATCAGACGTTGATTTCTAGCCTCCGCTTGTTTGATTTTTTTCTGAATGACATAAGGATAAAACAATAATTGAGAATCAAAAACGTTTTTCCCACTGCTCATTTAGGGAGTCGGGGTCTTGTCCTGGTTGAGGAGTGCGAGGTCAGCAAGCGCCAACCAGGCAAACGGGTCTGATAAGGATGAGAATTAGAGACACAATGTTTTTCCTGATGTTTGGTCAGTTGTTCTCCTGCCTTTGCAAACGCAGCGCGGATACTTGTGATCTGACAAATAAATCTACCAGGACGAGAGAAGTTGTTTGGCTGAATTCTTGCAGTTTTGATCACGTTTTTTCATAATGCATCAAATATGAGCTCAACGTGTCGCTTTTTAAAAAGGTTTGTTTTCGAATGGGGAGTTGTTGCAGTACCTTCAGTTGACTGTCAGACCATTTCCTCGCAGGTTGGTGGAAGTCGTCCCTGACCGGACCTGCAGCTCCGTCCTTCGCCTCAGACACTTTCTCTGGAAATGTAGACGGTGCTTTGTTCAAGATGGATCATCTCGAATCGCCACTAATGGCCAACTAAATGCCATTAGTGTATAATTCACATTAACAGTATTTAACTGAGAGGTTACGGTTTAGTGTAATACCACCAAATCAGCTGGAGTCATTACATTTGTATTAATTGTTTTACTGGACAGTTGGCTAACGTTACAAACTGCCCGATTGAGGAAGCAGTGACGTTATGTTTGGTTAGCGTTAGCTAACGTTACAAACTGCCGAAGCAGTGACGTTGTTTAGCGTTAGCTAACATTAGCTAATCTGTAATGCAGCTAACCGTTAACTACCGTAATATGAATTATTATTTAACCAATGATGGACTTGTTGCTAATGTTTTGTCTTGGTTAACCGAACTAACGTTATAGACATGACTTGAAAGACATTTTAAGTGGGGAAAAAGAAGAGACGCGCGCTTATTCACCGCAGTCTTAACACCTGTGTTAACTGGATTAACTTTTTAAATACCCGAGGCTTTGCTTTGAAGACTTGGATCGTTCATCTTTGTAGTGCCGGGGAACTTATTGTCCAGACGTCGTCTTAAAAAAACAGTCTAAATATCTCAGCCAGCCGTCACCTTCTGGCCGAAGGGAACTCAATTCAAATGTAACAGTGTTTCAGTTGCTAACGTTGTTTCCCTCTTGGTTCCCGTTTCTACGCGTGTCATGCTTTTCAATTCCGGCAACTGGTTAATCATAACTGAAAACTACGGACCGTTAACCATCACAACTTGTTTTGAATCAACGGCTCCCTGACTGTTGGACAGAAGCAGGAGTATTGGTCGCGTGAGCATGAAGGAGGAACAACGAGCGGCGCGATGGCGACACCTGCTGGCCGCCTTCGGCCTCTGCTGCGGACCCACGTGTCTCACAATGTGCGACGTACTTTACACACGGCACGCAAATTACATCCACTTTACAAACATATGTATATGTAAACTTTGTATTTGGAGGACGGGAAAATAGTTGCCAAATTACATTAAATAAAGGTATAATGAATGCAATAAAAAGGTAACAAAACAAATAAACCACTCCAAGAAATTTGATAATCAAACGCAACATACATATTTAAAGTGTCATACATTTGGCTCTATATATTTGTGGATGGTAATGAGGTAGGAAACGCTTATTAAAAAAGGCAGAGCTCGGCTGTGTGGGGATCGAGATTTATATTGCACTCAGACCAGTTGATTTATAACAGAGGTAAACAAACCTTACCTTTCACAACGTACCTTTAATGTTCCAGCAATTTACTTGTAAATGTTTAAGGTTGATTTATTACTAATGTTAAACACAGACTACAAAAAGCAGTTGTAGTTCCTTAATATGCAACTCTGTGACAAAACAGTTTTTATTTTATTTGCATCATGAGGAATATTATCAGAAGCACCAAGGAAACTCAGACGATACAGTGGTATTTTTACGATAAAAAACTTTACTGACTTAATCACGTTTCACTCTCAACTCGATACAGAACATGGGCTGTAATACAGACTGATACACAGATAAGTAAATGTCTAAACTTCGCTCATTGGCTATTGCTGTGTTATTACAAATTATGAAAATCTGTTGACTAATGTTTCCATTTTAAAAAGAAATAAAAATTACATAATATATACCAGTTAAGCTACCTCACACATTAACATCTTACCAAGTGGTTTGTGATTTTAATTCCTAAAACAGCAATGGCAAGGATTATTATTGTGGCTTCCTCGCACAGCGGGAAGCGGCCGATATTTCAGAAGAATCAGAATCACCCGAAAAACGAAGCAATTAATTTTAAAAATGCTGTTACAAGCACATTTTTTTAGGTTTATTTTAAATACTGGTCATCCAAGCTTGGATTTAGAGACCAAAGTCTGAACAAAGAATTAAGACATTGGATAAGTGGAACCAGATGGGTCTGGAACCGCAGGCATATTATTAACCGAATATCTTGAAATCAAAAAACTATTTTAAAAAAATGGAGGAAAATATTGAAAACTCAATGAATAAGGTTAAAAAGTCTTACGGTCCGACACCAGTTTGTCTTTCAAAGTTGAACGAACTGGGAAGGGCAGGTGCCACAAAGTAGTTCACGTCATCTATAGTCATGGGGAAACAGACCTCCGGGGGGCTTTGAGGAATCATGTCATCCATCTTATTCACATCACAGGACAAAGCCAATAGTGATGATGGGCGGCTGTCAAAGAAGGACCGTTTCTTTTTGGGGCGGAATAATAAACAGGTGACACAGGGAGCAGCATTGTGCCAACATACAGGAGGTCGGATTCAATTGGCTTCACTTGTAACCCAAACCCTGTCGACTGAGGAGGCAAAAGAGGGGGACGGTGATGGACAGACAGATAAACTGAAAAGAAAGAAAACAGGTATAAAAAACATAGTTAAACATGAAAACGCTGCTTGTCAGAGCCACAGAACATGTGAAGAAATACAAATTCAAATGTGACATCTCAGAGCTCTTATCAGTGTTAGAATGGAAACAAAAGGAGAAAGCACTGTGTCATGTCACAGGGTAATCTCAGCTGCAGCTATACAGAGAACATTTGCGTATTCATTTTGGTTTTACGCGCCACAACTTCACTCTGCCGCCGCTCTAATCCACGTCCTATTGATGTGACCCGTGTGTGCACGTAGACACCAGCTGGCGCGCGTAGTGGAGCACAGAGCAGCTAAACGGATATTTCCCTCAGGTAACAACTTGTCGTCAGGAATTAGTACTATTTCTTCTTAAATCAACTGTGAAATACACTAAAATTAAGTATCTATCATCCAATTTGTTTCTCATCTCTTTCATATTTTTTGGTGTGGACCTCTGGGCCTTTTCCTGCAGATCACCACCTCTCTACTGAATTGACCTCTTTGTCCCCTAAAGGTCACATGACTGGGAGGGGAGCCGTCTGTCAGTGTGTGTCTGACAGTGAACTTATCATTTTAGTTTTGGCTCCAATTATTACTACTGGGTCAAAAAGGACCGGAACAACACAATGGTCATAATTTCAACCAGAGCATTTTATAATTTAGTGAAAAAAATGTTTTTGTTTTATTTTGTTGGAAAACAGATCCCTGACAAAGTCAAAAGGCCTTGATGCATGAAAAAAATAATTGATCAGGTTCTTTTATGCATTTAAAACCCCAAACGGGTCGGTGCCGACCCTAACAAGGCTCACAATTTAGCTATATATCCCTTTTCTTTATATTTGTATGTAGTAGGGACCCACGCAACATGTTTCATACTTGATGTGAAACAGAACTATAGGTTTTAGTTAGCTGAGCTGTTGAATTCTCCCTTCTCAGACTGAAGGAAATAAGATGGATCGTACCTGCAGGATGAACATGGCGGCGACGCCGGCGCCTGTGCTGCGATAGTTTCCTGAAAACCAGTCCCTCAGTTTCACCAGACAACCCTGAAAGACAAAGCGTCTGCGGTGATCCTTCACAGCAGGAAATGAAACACGCAGAGTAGGAAAGCGTCCGGGACAGAAGGAACGGGACGGAGGCTGGCGTTGTTAAATCACAGACACTGCACACTACGGAGAAGCACGGAAACGGGTGTTTGGTGCAGCGATGGTCGTGGAGGTGACCTCTTCCCAGTAGGTGCGCGTGAAGAGGTCACAGGGGTCCTTCCTACAACAGGAGATGGGCACGTCCCCTTTCCAGTCTGCCACACCGTGGACTCCACAGCACCTGAACTGTACCAGAAAAACACCCAACAGCCTTTCAGAATAAGCCCCTCTCTGCCACTCCAAAGGATTTCAACTGAAGCAGTGAACATTTGGTTGAGGTGCAGACTTTCAGCGTTAAATCCACCAATATAACAGAAACGCCACAGTTTAGGACCCAGTTTACCAGGTGCTGGACGGCATCGAAGTCTTCTTTGAGGGTGGTGTTGATCTCTGAGCCCGACTCTCTGTAGATCTCCAGGCTCCGCGTCAGGTCTTCTTCAAAGTACGTGTGGATCTGCAGGGGCAGACGAGGCGTTATCCGCAGTGCGCCGCTGCCCGATGGACATGAAAAGACATCGCCGCAGTACGTGCTGGACGAGAGGACAGCGGTAAGGTGTCCCACGACCAGCCCAAAGCAGTTTGAGGGGGAAAATATTTGCCAACAGTGTAACACAACTCCCTGGGAAAGTGTCGAAAGGCTCTTACCTCTCTGCTGTAGACCAGGAAGACACAGGCCATGGCCAACTCCACCAGCATCAGGATGAACAACAGGACGAAGAACTGCAGTCGGGGAGAATCACGTTCAAGCGCGAGTGACTTTGGAGTGAGAGTTGCAACCGGTTATCAGTATCAGGTCAGTATCGGTCAGGCGAGTCTGTGTCGCTTCGTGATGTCATTCATCAGCTCTTTTAGGCCGTAACGTGCTGAGGCGTCTCTGTAGGAGTCTCTGGTTTTATTGGAGCCAGAAGTGACCCCCCCCCTCCCCAAAAACAACACTGAAAGGGTCACAGGCCAAACGCTGCGTCCATCACAGTAAGCCCGCCCTAAAGCTTTATGGTCTATTTGACTATAAACGGACCATTGTTTACTAAATGAACGTCATGCTGTAATCAAGAAGCTGTTTACAATGTAAGTAAAATTTGAAGTGGGGTCATTTTCCCATCACACCTCTTTCTACAACCACGGCAGCTTTTAGGACACTTGCTCGTTGGGCAGGAGGTTGCGTCCCAACAGCAAATTTATAATTCACATGGCAACAGTGAAACGGGTCTCGTAGTTTACAGGCTACATTCCTTTCTAGAGTCCCACGTGTCATTTGATCAGAGCTTATCGGTATCGGCGCAGGCGGGAAAAAAACGAAACCCGATCACCGGGTCGTCGGCGAGTACGACGTGCACGTGGGTTAATGTTAACAGACGGACCGAACCGACGCGAACACTCACGTTGACGAGCATGCAGCGGTTCTCCTTCATGGCCCCCATCACTCCCAGGTAACACACGCAGCAAATGATGGTGCCGGTGGCCACCACGGTGTTGGCGGGAAAGATGGGCCAGAAGGTGGTGATGAGGGAGGAGAACTTGGAGTTGATCATCTGGAACTCGCCCAAGGCCACCGTGAAGGCGGCGCACAGCTGCAACGTGCACAGAGCGGAGAACTGGTTATTATATGCAGATGTGAAGCAGGCACGTGCACAGGTAGACCCCCGGTGGGGCTCAAGCACCTGCCCCTTTGCCCTGGGTGAGAAAAGTGCCCCATGTTTCCCTCATTCATCCATATTTCAGAATAAAAAAATACTCTCTCTGGCATCAATTCCCCCCAAATGTGTTTTGATATCTGACGGGGCGTTTATTTCTTGTGAGAGGCAGGCAGGCAGAGAATAGACAAGTTCACTAGTTTAGTTTGATTTAATTCAACTATTGAAAGTATTAAGTTGAGCTACATGACAGTCTGGTGACGTATATTGTTCTATATTATTAGTGTAATGCTGCTTATGCTTCAACTGTCAGAAAACAGTCAAATAAATGTGTGTGTGTGTGTTGTCTTGATAGAGATTAGGTAAGTCACTCTTACTTATTTATCTCAATTACACAATTTGCAGCATAATGCCAAGAAATGCGAGTCTCTAAAGCGGAAGGACAGGGGAAATCCTACTGTGTTCTTCATTCATTTATTTTATTATTAGTATTTTTAATTTCATGAATCATTTTGCCCGTTTGTTTTGGTTCGAGCACCTGCCCCCCCACAAAATGTCAGTGCACGTGCCTGATGTGAGGGGAGGTTGGGACAGCGCGGCAGTGAGACGTTCACATCCGCTTCTTCTCATTCAAGCATCACTGCATCAAAGTCACACAAGGATCCAATAGACTAAAACCCATAATAATAGAAGATACATTTCATTCAATGTCCCTGTTACATTAAAGAAGGCTGTTGTTTCGTTGTGAAGTCTGCATGTCCTACGCGTCGGTACTTACCCAGCACAGGAAGTTGAGACTTATCACCAGAGTTTTCAGGTGCTTCACACAGGAGCGCTTCATCCTTCCTGACCGTCCCCCTCAGAGAAGAAAACCCTAACAAGACGATCCGCAACGGCGCACAAGTCGGGGTGCGTTACGGCTCCACGTTACAGCTGCATGCCGGAGGACGTGCTTGGAGGGAACGCTGTCCTGCTGCAGTCGACGGGTGTTTACAGAACACCAGTGTTTGATGTGGCAACACCGGGCCGTCATCGGGTGACCTGTTCACGCTCCACTTCATCATTCTTATCGCCCCGCTCTTATCTCCGTGGTTAACCATTTGTTGCAGGTTCGCACTGTACACGTGAGACCGGGTTTCGTTAAAAGACGGTTGGGGATGTGCGGACGCATCGTGTAGCTGCTCATCCATCACAGTGAAAGTGTCTCTTACCCTGAAGTGTACACTTGATCCAGATCGCACCACAGAAGACACGCTGACAGAGAAAGGAGTCCGGGAGAAAAAGACAGATAATTTGAAATAAATGTAGTTATTGGGAAAATGTTCAACATTTAACTAAAGAACTTGTAGCTTTTGCTTTGACCAACAATTAGATTAAACATCTAATAATAATTATGATGCCTTCATAAAAAACAGGCTTGGAAAGAGACAAAGAATGCACATTAAATACAACTGAAACCAAATTAGAATATTCTGAGGAAAAGAAAAGAAACCGACAAGCTCTTGATCAGAACATAAGCTCTTTACTCACATTTTTTTCAGGAAAGTGGTTTTGATCAGAATTGTTAAATTGGCTCTACATTAAATAATGAACTACATGACAGATGGGAGGATCATGGACTCCATCAAAGCGCTCGACACAGTAGAGAGAAGAAAGCGGTTTGACTTGGTACAGAAAACCTCCCCAGTAGTTTACACTCACACGGATATTCCACCTGTGTGCACGGCCTTTATGGAGGTCAGTGGAGCGCCGTTTGGGCGACGCCCACCTAGCCGATGACCCGAGTCCGTCTAACAATGGATGCATCCGGCGCTGCCTGCTGGTGCCGGTTGCATCAGTGTTGCGTTGACGTGACGTCCCGTTCTTCTGCACGGCTACATGCTGCTGATGGTCGACAGAGCTAAAAGGTCACATGACCACAAAGGAGTGAGGTGTTTCCCCATCAAGTTCAGTACAACAAAAACAAAAAATGCTGCTTTAACTTATCACAGCGGAGACTCCAGAGAGTAAACAAACCAAACCACTTCCTCTTTGTGGCGCGACCGGACGCGGAGGAGGAGCTCGGACCTGGGAGTCCACTCTGGTTCTGTCTCGGTCCGTTAGGGCGGATCTTTGTGCTTTCAGACGATGAGCGCGAACAAAATAAATCACATTAGAGCAGCTTTGTCTCATCTACCTCTTGCAGACACATGCAAAGACACACAGGCACACACACACACACACAGGCACACACACACACACAGGCACACACACAGGCACACACACACACACACACAGGCACACACACACACACACACAGTCACACACACACAACTGGTTGTGTTCTCGTGGCTTCGGGCTTCCGACCCGCGAGGTCGTGCGTTGGATTGTTGGGCTCAGTGATGCTACGGCAGTCTTTGCAATTGCTGTGATGGATGCTGATTAAGAAAAACATCGTAAAAGACTAAAATAAAAACAATGTACGTAGAAGCGGCCTCTCTCTCTCTCTCTCTCTCTCTCTCTCTCTCTGAGTGACGGAGCGTGGAGCTGAGAGCGATACCGTTTTTCCGTGTGGGTATTTCCACTAGTTAATGTGGGAACGTAGGTAGTTTGTGTGGACTTGGTTTTTAGAGGTCTGTGTTTGTGCAGTGCGCGTTTTTTGCGGCTGATCGGCTCGCGCTGGTCGGCGTGCTAAACGCCGCCATGGATCTGACCCGACTGACGCGGAAGCACGGCGTTAAAATTCCGGTTTCCCGTGCTCGGTGGAGGACTGCAGCCTGGCCGTGGGGGAGATGGTCGGTCACGGCAGCGTAAAGTCCGCCGCCCGCATGAACAACGCGGTGGTGATGTTCATGGACAGCGTGGACAAAGCCAACATGGTGGTGGAGAAGGGGATCGTGGTGAACGAGACGTTCGTGCCCGTCCTGCCTCTCGCCACACCAGCGACCCGAGTCACGGTCTCTAACGTTCCCCCGTTCATCAGGGACGAGATGTTGACCAGAGAATTGTCGAGACACGGGATGGTCGTGTCTCCCATTAATAAGGTGTCCTCGGGTCTCAAATCCCCTGAACGCTCTACATCAGGGGTCTCAAACTCAAGTCAGGTACGGGCCAGATGCAGCCCACCTCGACCGAACGCGGGCCAGACCATTACGGCCGACGGGGGGATGACACTGACGGTCCGACCGGCGAACGGAACGGTCGGCGCTGGGGTGGAGGTTGTAAGTGGCTGCTAACAGCGAGGTTGCTACAATATAGAACTCGCGGGCCGCACTAACATTACACTTTCATATGAAGGCGAGGGCCACAAAATATCGTCCCGAGGGCCGCAATTGGCCCGCGGGCCGCGAGTTTGAGACCCCTGCTCTACATGATCCTCAACAAAAAAAACGAGGATCTGAACGTGGTGTTCAAATTAAGAGTGGATGGGTTTGACTATGTGGTGTTTGTCAACTCTGACAGCACGAAATGTTACCGGTGTGGCAGAGAGGGACATCTGAGCAGGACATGTCCAGAGAAGACCTCTACTGGTCACAGCCAAGGTGGGCAGGAAAGACAAGAGGGGACAGTTGGGGTCCAACAGGGAGGTGAAACGGGGACAGGTCAAGTCCAGAAGAGTGCAGTGAGTGAGGGGGGGGAATGCAGGGTCCAGCTGGTGGAGAGAGGGACTGATGGGGTAAATGAAGACACGGGTGGGGCCCAGCAGGTGGGGCAGGCGAGTGACGGAGCGAATGAAGGGGTGAGTGGGGCCCAACAGGTGGGGCAGGCGGGTGACGGAGCGAATGAAGGGGTGAGTGGGGCCCAGCAGGTGGGGCAGGCGGGTGACGGAGCGAATGAAGGGGTGAGTGGGGCCCAGCAGGTGGGGCAGGCGGGTGACGGAGCGAATGAAGGGGTGAGTGGGGCCCAGCAGGTGGGGCAGGCGGGTGACGGAGCGAATGAAGGGGTGAGTGGGGCCCAGCAGGTGGGGCAGGCGAGTGACGGAGCGAATGAAGGGGTGAGTGGGGCCCAGCAGGTGGGGCAGGCGAGTGACGGAGTGAATGAGAAAGCAGACGAGGTCCAGCTTGCGGGTCAAGGGGGCGTAGGGATGGAAGAAGGGGCGAGTGGGGTCCAGCAGGTGGGTCAAGGGGGTGAAGGGAGGCAAGAGGAGCCGGGAACGGGTTTGGGGACCTACATTGAAGGGACCCTGTCCACGGACAGCGACATGGACATGGAGGGAGAAGAAGAGGCGTTAAAAGTCTCCCGCCTGAAGAGAAAGACGGAGAGCAGAGGGGGCTCTCAGGCCAAGAAGGGGTCAGGGAACAGAGAGGCAGAGGGAGGGGGGGCAGCAGGAGCGGAGTCTTCTGTGGACAGCGTCTCCTCTGGCGGGACGGCCACCAATTGCTACAGCGTGGGGAGGGTGAAACTCTTCCTGAAGACCACAAAGAACATGAAGGGGATTAAGCTGGAGGACTACTTTCCGGATATGGAGAAATTCGGTCGTACTGCTCGGGAGGGTGCGAGCAAACGAGGCAGTTCCCGATACACGCAGCAGGAGGTCTTCCGGCTGCGAAAGATTGTCCAGAAGATCAAGAATGGCAACGAGAGGGCTGCTGGGGACTGAGTGGAGTACCGGCGGAGGTGAGGAGCCAGTGACCAGATGGACTACCAGTTCATCGGCGGAGTGGGCGGTGTGCGTTGATGCTGCAGAGGAGCCTGGTGTGGACTGGCTGATAGGAGATCGTGGCGTTCTTCTGTGTATTGATTGGACCTTAATGTCATCAGGCAATATTCTTGTTTGTGTTTGTTTTTTATAAGAAAATAAAGGTTTATCAAAATCAATCTCTCTCTCTCTCTCTCTCTCTCTCTCTCTCTCTTGGCCCGTACAGCTTCATAGTTCTCTGCCTTAATGCTACATCTCATTCCCCCGACTTAGCCATCAGAATCAAACAGAAGAACTGTTGATGTATTAAATTTCATCGGCATTTTGATGTGGTTCTTTCACTGGAATGGATCTGTGTAGAAGCCTCTTATCTGGCAATATTACAACCGTTTCAAAACTTACCGTGAGTCGGCTTTTGGAGTATCTGAGGAGGAGAAAGGTGTCGTGGAGGGCGTTGCGTGCCGTGGCCGTGCATCCCCTGAGCTCGGTGGGCCGCCCGTCGTAGTCGTGGTCGTAAGACAGAGTCCCATTCCCCAGCATCACCGACACGTACGGGAACGTTCTCTGTGACGGGAGACGGGGGGAGGTGAGGGGGGGGCGCGGCAGCAGCAACAGTACAGACGCGCCACAAGAACACGAAGCGCATGCACGCGATGAGGCGGCACGTGGTGAGACGGGGAAGCGATGGAGGTAATGAGAGGAACGTTTCGTAACGAAGTTCCAGGCTGGGTCTTCTGCACATTTCGAGGGGGCGTGGGGGGGTGGTTGCAAAGAGAAAAACACGCTTTTGATATAATTTTTGTATAAAAAAGCACCAGCGACAAGCTGGTCGTGCGGAGGAAGCACAGTAGGGCCGAGATCCTCCTTGTGGCAGTGGCAAGTGGGTGGCAACTTTGTGGCAGGCAGCGGCAATCGCCAGTAAATCAGTCGGCGTCACAACGGCACGCTGGGTGGGAGGAGCCAATTTTTCCCAGAAACAACTGTTATTTGTACGACAGGTCAGCTGCTGTAAATATTTAATTTTATTTAATTTTATTTGAGACACGTGAGCCCCCGTCTTCTTATTACAGAGGCTAATTTTAGGTTTGGACCGGCGGGTTCCGTGTAGGGGGTGGGGCTCTCAAGTTTGATGCCACCCACTTGCCACTGCCACAAGGAGGATCTCGCTGTCACTCTCATGGCAGTGTAGCATGAAAGTCGAACATAGTAAACGTGCTTCACTTCCAGTTAATAACTGGTGGATTCTTATAGAATATGCAAGTTCTTGTGTAAGAACAGGAGCTGGTCGACATGCTGTGATTTTGCCCTCTGAGTTGTGTGGCAGTTGTACCAGTGCCCGTTCAATCGTCACCTGGCTGCCTTCAGGAACGGGGTGCCCTTTTTTCCTCCAAACTCTGAGTCGTCTCGGGAAATGTGGGTCTGCAGATTTGTCGTATTCCCGAAGTATTTTATTTTACTTCTACAGACCTTACAAATGGTGTAAGTCTTGTCCATCATGCCGTCAATCTCGTAAAATCCGAAATGCTGCCATACGGCAGCTTTTAAAGAAGCCGGTGCAGGTCAGATACGTCTCTCCGTTGCGGCCATTTTGGTGCCGCTTCAACTTTGTTTATGAACGTTCGCGAATGTGCGTTCGGAATGTGCACATGCGAGCATAGCGGGCGAACAAAATGTTGCGGTAGGCGAACTAATTTCATTTTTTTAAATTCAGATTATTGACTTTTCTGAATCGATTACATGATACATGTCAGTTTACTTGATTTGTGCTGTTATTTTTGTGAACGAGTGAGTGAGACTGTGTTAAGTGTGTATGTGTGTGTGTAAGATGTTCACACTTGCACTTTTCATATTTCTAAATTTTTGAGACTCAAGTATTTGACATTTATGAAATTAAATAAATATTGACATGACAATCAATCTGAAACCCTCACAGATTTTTTTCTGTTAACAGTGAAAAAATGTGGATGTGGTGCATCCCTAAGTGCGTGTAATAAGTGGTCACAGTAACACAAAATCCCCCAAGAGGAACGTAGCTGTAGA